AAATATTTTAACATTATTTTCTATTATTCATTAATTTTTTATAGTTAATCTAAATATATAATTAAATTCAACCACGATTTAATTTAAATAATGTTGTTGTCCACCATATAACAATTTCTTAAATTGATATAGCAATCAAATGTTAATTCACAACCAAGTGCTAGATTCAATCAGCTTTAAAATTTTTTTGTTTTATTAATCTAGAGTAAATATAAGATAATATTTATTTAAAAAATAATTATTGATCATTTGATATTAAACGCTCATACATTCGACATTTATAGTATTCGAAATCAAGATTTTAAAGAATAACAATAATTCTATAACAACAATTCCTTTATTATCGAAATTATTATTCTATAAAAATAATTCATTTACCATTAAGATTTACATCACCAAATATAATTTATATCTCCTTTTTCTAGAATTTTGTATCGTGTAATAGTTGCTTAACTTGATGCAACAATCAAGTAGTATTACTTATTCTCACTTTTCAAGTTTGATATTTCTAATTCAATAATAAGATGATAATATGCATTATCGTCTTAAAAATTGAAATAGTCTATAAATATTCAATGTTAGATTTATTAAATAATTTTCAAATTAAAACTTTTTATTATATAGTTAACGTGAAAAAAAATAAAACTTAACGGTCTATAATTTAAATAAAATAAAAATATAATATTAATAAAAATGTGAAGCTTGAGCGGCCGAAACAATTTTGGAATATGATTGAATAATATTAAATAAAATGCCAGCTCAGTTCTGAATGATATGAGATAAAATGGAAAAAATAATTAATAATTAAATGAAGCCAAAATAGAATGGGGTAGGAGTATGTGGAAGAAACTCTGGTATCGTGCTGTTCTAAAACTCCACCATCTAAACTGCGTTCTCAATCACCAAAAGAATTGAATTTTCATCATTGTTTTTGAAAAATTAATTCAAACTAATCATGAATTCATCAAGATTTTCACCTAAAAATTAATCACAGAATACATCTGCAGCAATATCGTAATAGAATTTTCAAGAACTCCACGCACCCGATATTCGACATCGATTCTTTCTTCGACCGCCGCCTCAACGATTTCATGACGGTTTCTCTACGATAACTCTCCAGAACATCCTCCTTGAAAGCTAAATCTCTCGTGTCCTTTATATCGTCGGTCCCAAAAAATACGTCTCCGATTGTTCCGCGATTCGACGACGAGAGGTAGAAAGAGTCGGATACCGGAAACAAAGAGTAAGATTGCGTTATATATTGGCTTCCGCCGCCACCGCCGCAGCCAGTGCCTTCATAAGATACGTCGTGGCTGGGGATTCCTCTGTCCATAGATGTGAAAAATAAGAGCGAGATCGGGAGAGAGGGAAATTTGAGGAGGAGAATAGATAGATTGAGAATCAGAGGTTCAATTGATATAGCTAAAGAAGAGTTCTAGTCCATTGGGGGAACTGGATAACTATTGTTGACCTAGAGTTGACTTTGGCTGCAACTTCATATTATTGACACTGGGTCCTACCCAAACTACAACGTTTTAATGCCTATGCTTCATCTATCATTTTATTTTTATGCCATTCATATATTTGTTTTTATATACATAAATAGTCGGTTTAAATTTATATATTTCATTATATGAGGAAAAAATATTTTTAAATTAATTTTTTTCTTACCAACGACCAGTTGATCTAGTGGGATGAGACACTAGATTCCTTAAGCAAGGTCAAAGGTTCAAACTCTGGCGTTTGTAAATGGAGCAAACTGGGTTAGGAGGATAGTCCTCGACTCTGCAGTACCTAATGTGAATTAGTCGATCAATAGATCGGATACCAATGATTAATTAATTAAATTTTCCTCTAAATATTTTTTTAAGAATTAACACGATACACATATTTTATTTTTTTTGAAAAAGAATCTAAATACATTATATTATCTATAACTTAGAAGAATTTTAAAAGTATGAATTTAAATTTGAATAGGGATAAAATTTATTGAAGTTGAATTTGTGGACTGGAAAATATAAAAATAATTTAAAATATTATCAATACATAAATGTATAAATATTTTTAAATTTAAATAGCCTAATTTTATACTTAATTATATGTTTGAATCTAAAACCATATTAGATTAAAAATAATCAATTAAAGTTTAAAATATATTATACATATATATTATTTGTAGAGGTTCATTATGATAATAACTCTACACGTCATATAATATTTAAGTATCATTGGTTTACTAGGATAATTATCTAATATACGGTGAACGAGAAAAAAAGGTTTTTACAAGTACCATTAAAATTGTGATAAATATCTTTTTAATTTATTTGAAAAAGGATAATCATAGGGGTTACTGGTAATGGATTTTTTATAAACATCATAGCCAGTGTAATTAATTTAAGAATTATATAAAAAAAAACCGAAGAAGGACACTTATAGTCATTTTAATCCAGCTGGTCAATAGAGGTGACAAACAAGTCATTTGAATCGGGTTTAATTTGGATCATTTCGAGTCTAAATTATATTTTGTTTAATTTTATTCGAGTCGATTCGCATTTAGTTCAGGTGTATAGTGAATCAGGTCGAGTCGAGTATCATGTTCATCAATTTTTCGGGTGGGTTAATTTTTGGGTCGAGTGATTATTGGATCGGTTGTTTTTCGATTCAGATCAATATCGAATTGGTTGATTTTTTGGTCAGGTTAATACCAGATTAGTTAGATTTAGATTCGGGTCAATATCGAGTCAGATACACCCGACAGATACAACTATTCAAACTCATGACCTTTAAGAAGAATAATATTTTCTTTCACCACTGAGATGACTTGATGATAGTTACAAGAAAAGTTTGTAAAACTAGTGTATATTCAATAACATTAATCATATATATATATATATATATATATATATATATAAAATTATCAAAGTGTACAAACTAACCATGAAAATAAAATAAAATATGACGATATGATGAAACAGTTAAAACCCCAACCAAATTACTTATAAAAATTATGGATACAAATATCTCAATCACGTTAAAACATGAATATTATTTACACTAACATAAAAAATACACATATCAATGTGACATGTTGACAAATAGATTTTATTATAATTAATTATAACTTATTTTTAGTGATTACAAATATTTATCAATAAAAAGAGAACTAATATAAAATTCTAAAATAGGAACAAATCAGCAAAGTAACTAAATAGGCATTAATTAAAAAGGTTATATTAAATCTAATCCTAGAAAAAAAACGTACTACATGAGAAAGATAGAATCATCTATGATTTCCATATAAAAAGAGACTTACTAATTAAAAAATACAACTCAAATAAATAAAATAAAAACACAATAATATTATGATAAAGTCTAAAAAAGAATACGAAAAAGAAAGAAAAGGAAAAAAACCTAGTGATCAACGGCCATAACCACTGGCAATAAAAAGATATATAAATAGCTAGATTATTAAAATATAATAATCATTCGAAATATAATAGGTTGTTTTATTAAGTGTCTTGATTATTAAAATTAACGAAATTGTCGTCTCATTATAGGGCGTTGTTTTGTTAAATCATTCGAATATTAAAAGTTACAAAATGGTCACTCGACTATTTATATGTTCCAAACTTGTCATTTTCCGTTAAGAAGTTGACGGTCGTCTAAATTGACCGTAAATCTGCTAACTGTGATATAATAAAAATCATATTTTAATGATGTCTACTAACAACGTCGTTGCTTTCAAGTACTGGCTCGACGACATAATGTTTCAAGCACTAACTCGACCACATAATATAAACATAAACTCAACTTGCAAAATACAACTCAAAAGGTTATGTGATCAAATTTTATCATATCTTTATCAATAGGTTAACGTCCAACTCAGATGACCACTAATTTTTTAACGAAAAAAGACAAGCTTGGAACATATGCATAACCGAGTGATCATTTTTTAACTTTTAATAGTTGGGGAACTCAACAAAATAACGTCCTATAATCAGGGACCATTTTATAATTTTAATAGTTGGGAGACTCAACAAAGTAGCCCTTATAATAAGGGACCATTTGTGTACTTTACCCATAAAAACTAAATGGTAAAATGCACGATAAAAAAATGTAAAAACTTCTTTCACTAATAATACACCAAAAAATAATTAATAAAACAAATAATTAATAAAAAAAAAACAAACACAACTAGTTAAAATTTTATGATAAATATTAATCAAATGTACATCTATCATAAAAATGATAAAATACATGCAAGTGAGTTGATATAAATATATAATACTACTCAGAATAAAGAACAAATTAATATAATACACAAATATTACCGGCTACCGCTACATATAATTCAAATTATCCGGTGGAGATACAATTATGGTGGTTGGCCATGACCTGCCAAGTTCTGTGGGTAAATTGTAATTTAAGTCACTGCTAATTTTAAAATCAATAAAATCAAGTTTCATCTCCAATTTTTATGATTAAATTATACTTTAAATCTTTATTAATTTTAAAATTAATTAAGTTAAGTTTTATGATTATATTATACTTTGAGTCACTCCTAATTTTAAAATCAATGAAATTAAGTTATCGAGATCCAATAATTGATCGAATGATTAAATTATTTTCAAGTAAAAAGATATTATATTTTCAAAACAAATATTGAGATTCAAACTTACATAAATTGAGATAACATAAACATTCTTAATCTCTCGATTAATTAATAAATCTTTTAGTGGTTAAATTGTAACCTTATATGTTATAACCTTTAATCTTGGGTTCAAGTTATCATTTGATTATTAATTATTTTTACTAACATAATATTTTATTACGTCATCAAAACTTAAATGAACTTTTATAAAAATGATTATTTAATTGAATATTAATAATAAATTTAAAATTCAAACATTTTCCCAATAGAACTAATATAATTTAGGAACCCATAATTTCTGTAAACAAATTCGATTTTAATGCACAAACTGAGGAAGATGAAGAAAGCATCCAAGAAACCCATGCTTACATTAAAATTACGTGAAAGCCCAAATGATTTGATCAAAAACAAAGATTAAATTGGAAGAACAGATTGAAATTTCTATGTCTACCCACAACATTAGGCATTTTAATTATTAATTTTCAATCTAAGCAAGGAAGGAGGTTTAACAAGCGGACGAACCTCCGTCTTGAAGAGAAGAAAACAAAACTTGTCCACCGAGAAGTACAAAAACCCTCCACCGGCGTGCGTCACAAACGACCCAAAACTCTTCCCAACGATGCAATGCCACGCCGGTCCGTACAGCGCATCGAATTCCTAAATCAGAAAAAAGTTTCTTTCAAAATCTCCAACTCGAAAATCACTCCGAAAAAAAGGCAAAATTTGAGGTTACCTTCTTAAGGCACATAGCGAGACGCGTAGGATTGGGAGTGGGTCGCTTGGCATTATCTGGGTTGTCGTCGAGTAGAGCTCTAGCTCTCCTTATAGCTCGCTCTTGCATCGCGAGAGGCATGTCGGCGGATCTCAGCCGTACGTTCAAATCGACGGCCATTGCGGCTAGTTTGAGTTCATTTGGAGGCGGAGGCGGAGGAGCTCTAGCGAGCGGCGGCAGAGATGAAGAGCGCTGGAGTGTATATTGTGAAGTTTTTTTGGGGTTTTCATTTGCGTTTCTTCTTCCATTATATGAACGTTGTCTCTCCATTCACTGAAACTAGTTGGTGTGGGAAGTTGGTAGCTGGAAAAGGTTTTTTTGAACTTTTAACTTTTGACTGCATTTGCTTAGAGTGAAACCAAGGTTAAATTATGATTTAGGTCCCTTCATTGTGCTCTAATATCTGATTTTTCCTTATATTTTTATTAGGCATATTCCGGTCCTCCGTTTGTATAATGTTAATAGTAGGAGTGAATATTCGAGCAAGTCGAGTTGAGTAAAAAAATTCAAGTTAGTCGAGTTGACGAGTCTTATTTTATAATTGGAACTTTAATTAAATTTTGTTCAGATTGAGTCGAATTGAGTCGGGATGTTCAAGTTCCTCTTTAAATTTAATTATAATTATCTATAATATTATGATACATATTTCTTAAATTTAAATAACTCTCTAATCATATAAGATATTCATATATTTATATATATATATATATATATATATTCATTTTATTTGGTGAAATAAGGACATAAAACATTCTAGCTATTAATTCCTAAACATTCTTTACTGAGTATCAGCTCTACAGCCACCGGGGGTGTTGATAAACTTTGACCCCCAAAATCATCGATGTGGGTTATCTTCGTCATAAAATCAGTAACTCTATTCTTTGTTCGATTAACCAAAGAAAACGAGATTATCATTGTCTGTTTAGCAGCTCCTGGATGTGCTGTAAAATGGTTGGTGAAACTGGTTTTGACACAACTTGGTTTAAATTCCGGAAGATTTCTCTATTATCGACTTCGAGTATGACACGACACGCTCCCATATTCCAGGCATGTTTTAAACCTTCCAAGACCCCCCATAATTTCGCTTTCACGTGTAAGTAAGATTTATGATGTTGTTTACTAAATCAAATAACATCTAAATCGGTTAAATATATTTATAATGTTATTTTTTAAATAAGACATTTCTAGGACAAATTATTAATAAGAGTTAACAAATTTATAAAAAGTTAACCAAAGGATCCTATTGAATAAAATAGGACGAAATTGCAAAAAAAATGAATTTGGGTATTATATAGTGTTAGTGGAGTGTGCCATTTAAATTTAGTAAAAATAGACTTAAAACAAAGGGGTAACTGAAAAGAGAGAGAAAATCATGCAAAGTAGTGAGATTAAATCTAAAAACAGAAAATTAGTTTTCAAAAAGAGGAATTGAAACTATGTAGGTATTCTAAAATGTTTTAGGATAATTTAGTTCAAATTTGATAAAAAAAAAATAGATTTGAAATGAAAGAGAAGTAGAATAAATAAAAAAACCAACGACTAAATTGTAAAATTTAGTTTATTAAATTACTAAATCTCAACTCGAAAACCAAAACCAAAATTCGTACCGACTTGAATAACTTAAAATTTTAAAATATTCATTATCTTACATTATTTTATTTTTATAGATAATAGGAAGAGTGAAATTAGGGGAAATGATACGCTGAGGTAGTAAGTGCAGACCACAGATATAATAACAGGGACTAGAGTTTTAAAATTTTCAGGCTTTTGGCACTTTTGAGCAAGCAAAACAGACAATTATTGGATGAATTATTTTTCTCTCGGGGCCCTTATCGTTTATAATTCGATAAACAATTGAAAATTATTTATATTTTAATTCGATTAAGTTCAATTTATTAGACCGTCACGTTGGATATTGTACATCAATTAAATGAATCGCAATGCAAAACATAGCTTCCAAAAAAACAAGCATATATAAGTGGGAAATGGAGATCTCAGAGTGAAATCTTGGAAGTTACGGCAAAGCAAAGGTATATAAGATAAATTTCCATCTAATAATGAAGACAATGTTCACCCTTTTTGGTTTGGGTAGAATAATGTGTTATATGAATAAAAACTTACTTAAGATTTTATATTAAATGCAAAAATTTAACAAGTTATATTAAAAATTCAAAGAATGTAAAATTAGATCATCAATAAAAAACTGTAAAAAAACACTTAAACTATGTAAGGATTTAAAATTTCCAGGGATATGATCGTACCTCAACACCCCCTCGATCTATTCCGGTCTACGAGGGCTAGTTTCTATACCAACGGTCTACTGGCCCATGCATGAAAAAAATATGGGCTAAAGTGACTATTCAATTAAACATTAGAAGTATTTTTATCGTAAAATGAAATAATAAGATTCAAAATACTTTAAAAAAGAATAGAATTCAAAATGATTATTTTAATAAATGCAAGAAGACTAATTTCAACATTATGCAAATAAAAAATGAACATCTTATAGTGAAATCTTGGAAATAACAACAAAGCAAAGTTGTATTGATAGGTTTCCATCTAATAAAGATCTTGTTCATCATTTTTTCCAGTAGATTAATGTATTCTACGAGTAATAACATATGCATGATTTTATCTTAGTATGTGTGAATTTAGTAAGCTAAAGTAGAAGTTGAAGGGATGCAAAATTATAAAATTTTATATAGTACAGAATTAACTCCAACAGAAAATATAAAAAAAATATTTACACTATATAAAGATTTAAAGTCTTAAGGGATACGATGACACCTTAGGAGGGCCAATTTCGGTACCAACCGGCCCATGCAGAGACCAAGCCACTGACACCAAGAGACAGAGGATGGTTGCAGAAAGGGTTGGGCTCGATCTCTGCAAGTGCAATTATCAAATCGGCAACATTCGCTGCCACTGCCATCAACCTCATCACTCTATCGCCTCTTATCTTCCTTATCTTCTGCTTTGCTTCCTTTGAATCTTCATCATCATCTTCTTCTTCTTTCAAAGCAATGAACTTCCTCTCTGCCTCGACCCCTTGTTTCATGACAATCAAATCCGAAACAATGAAGAAAACATACCCAAATGCCTCACCAAAGGCAGAGATGAAGCTCATCCTCTTAGCCAACTTAGCATCAAGCGTCCCGATTCTCGAGAGCCAAAGGAAGTGGTCGAAGAAGAAATAGACCATCTCTCCGGCATTAGCAAGCACTGCTAGGAGCTTGAAACTTGGGGTTGAACCAGGGTTCCTTCTCAAGGCATTGAAACCGGTGAGGAACCTGCCGGTTCTAAAGGCTTTTCGGCTAAGACCAGAGGCAACCTCCCATTGCTTGAACCTGGTGGCGAGGTCAGGGTGAGTGGCTTCCACTTGCCAGTTAACAAGCTTGGAGACGTATTGGAACGTCTTCACCCAGCTTGTCGATGCCATCTCGCTTGGCCAGAAAGATGACCAGCTTGTCTACTGAGTCGTTCATTTTTGTTCGAGTAAGAGACGGACGCAGAATTTAGACGATGAACTCAGTGAAGAGCTCATTGTTTTGGGTAAATTAAAGAAAAGTGAGAGCCGCAGGATTTTGGGAGGGGATTTGGTTTGTGGTCAAGTTCCTAACATCCAGTAGTTTTTTTTGTCTTTTAATATGGATAGCAATTTGGGATGTCATGTGGACAAATTTCTTCTTCATATGTTAATATGTATTATCTACCATATATGTAGGATAAGCCATTTGTAATGCCCGAAGAAAGCGGTAAAATAGTGCTATATATGTATCCATCACACCATGCAAACGTACATTAATCGATTAACTTTCTAGTGCGTGCATACATAATTTTTGGAAAGGATCCAAAATAAACTTTTATTTTGAAAATTTTGGACATGTGTGTGCTTTGAGTTTGGGTTCACCCAACAGTAACACTCCCAGTTGTTGATAATCATATGGAGGGAGCTCTAACAGTCAGCCCATAGAAACAACAGGCCCTTCCTTTAACACATGGTCCACACTCATGCCACGTCATCTCCGCCTATACTCAGACAGTTGGGGGTCCCACAACGCCGACTCAGAGAGAGAGAACAGACGGATGTATGCCTACCATGAGAAATATTCTTCCTTGGATATGCGAATATGCCTTTCTTCTACACCATCAGCACTTTCCATTATAAAATTCACAGTAATATCTTGCACATTCTCAATCATTTCCCCAAGGCTTAAAGCTAAAACAGTCTGGTGAGGTAATTAATGATCCTTTCGCTTGTATATTTTGTTCATGTATCTGTCGAGTTTTACATCTTTATGTGTTTGATTTGGTTTATCAGGGAAATCGAAATACATGGGTTCACCGGCTGACACAAGTTACAGCAAGCCTCTCGGAATCCGATTCTTGGAATACATTAAAAAAACGAAGCTTTCCTATGAAACTCATCAAGCCATCGTCTTGATCGTAACATTCTTCGCCTACACCAGCTATCACGCGACAAGGAAAACCACCAGCATTGTCAAGAGTGTTCTTGATCCCCAATCATCTGATCTAGGCTTGAAGTTCTTCCCATGGAGGATAACATACGTTAGTAGCGCACCACAAGTTGTAGGAGATGGTTGGGCACCATTTAATGGATCCGATGGGATGACCTTGCTCGGCCAACTCGATGTGGCGTTTCTCGCGGTCTATGCTTTTGGGATGTTCTTCTCAGGACACATTGGTGATAGAACCAACTTGAGGGTCTTTTTGACAGTGGGAATGGTTGGAACTGGCTTGTTTAGTTCGCTATTTGGTATTGGTTACTGGGCTGAAATCCATAGCTTTTACTACTTCCTGATCGTCCAAATGCTTGCTGGGTTGTTTCAATCGACTGGATGGCCTTCGGTTGTGTCGGTTGTTGGTGAATGGTTTGGGAAGAAGAAGAGAGGGTTGATCATGGGGATATGGAATGCTCACACATCTGTTGGGATTACTGGTTCTTTGATTGCTTCAGCATTGTTGAGCTATGGATGGGGTTGGTCCTTTATTGTGCCTGGTTTGCAAATGGCATTCATCGGCTTACTGGTTTTCCTTTTTCTGCCTGTTAGTCCCGAATCGGTCGGAGCCGATAAAAACGAAGATGAAGTGGATTCTCTTAGGAAGAACGGGGAGGGAGTATCCGAGCCTCTCTTGGGCTCGGATACTGAGCTTAAGGAACAACCTGTAGGGTTCATTGATGCATGGAAAATCCCTGGGGTTGCTCCTTTTGCTTTCTGTCTCTTCTTTGCCAAATTGGTCGCTTACACCTTTCTCTATTGGCTTCCATACTACATTAGCCATACAGGTATACACACACATACAATGCGATAGGAATCACTTACACTATGCAAAATTGCGTAAAAGTCATTAGTTTTATTGTTCAATCTTGCAGCAATTGAGGGTAACTATTTATCCAATGAGACGGCTGGAAACTTATCGACATTTTTCGACGTCGGAGGGGTGCTTGGAGGGATCTTAGCCGGACACATTTCGGACCGGCTAGATGCCAGAGCCATAACTGCAGCAACTTTCATGTATTGCGCCATCCCTTCTCTGTTTTTCTACCGTAGTTACGGACACATTTCATTGGCGATGAACGTAGCTCTGATGTTCATCTGCGGAATGTTCGTGAACGGACCCTATGCTCTCATAACAACAGCCGTATCAGCAGACCTTGGAACACACAGTTCATTAAGAGGAAACTCCAAGGCATTGGCGACTGTGACAGCAATCATAGATGGAACAGGTTCTGTTGGTGCAGCAATTGGACCATTGTTAACCGGTTACATCTCTGCCAAGAGCTGGAATTCAGTTTTTACTATGCTCATGGGGGCTGCATTAGTTGCAGGGCTGCTGTTGACAAGGCTCGTGGTGGCTGAGGTGACGGCGAGGATTTCTGATTCGAGGTCACACGGAGGATCTCAAGCTCCAGAACTGGATGTATGATGCACATAAATTGTGCGTTTTACATATTTTTCTTTGCTATAGTTATAAGATGAAGGGGAAAGGGGAAGATTTTGTAGCCTTCTCCTCCTAGTTTTGATTACCATGAAATTATTTCTCCTTTGCTCCATTGGAGAAGACGAAGATAGAAGAAACATCAATCTGTATGTACATTTTGTATGCTACATTATATTGATTTAAGACAGCATCATTCAACAATGTTGCTTATTCAGAATTTTTCTTTCGCTTTTATGCTTGCCGTATGAATGTGATTAAATTTTAAATTAATTTTTAATTGTATTTTTGAATTAAAATATTGTTCCAATTGAACCATTTCGTCACGTTGGTCAAATTTGGTGTTGTATGTATCTTGCTAGTTTAATATCGCTATTATTGCTGTTTTTTTTATAAGAAAGTTTAGGTAAGGTGACTCTCCCAATTTAGGGTCAGGCATACTTAATAGTCAATTGAGATTTATATAAAATTTTACAGATTGTTCACTAAGAGCAACGATAAGATTCAAACTTGACCTTACAAACTCAAATTTTTGAATCTCAATCACTTGTGTCAACGCTCATTGACACTATTATTGATGTTATGATTGATAAGTATTTTGAAATTTTTAATTTTCAAAAAATAAAATTTTCAAAGTAGGTGTACATGATAAAAATGTTATCAAAGTTCGATTAAATAGTCATTTTGGTTTCTATTTTCTTAGAATATTTTGATCGAAACATTTAATTTGGGACAAAAAAGTCTCTCTGTTGATAGAAATCATTAGTCAACAAACGATTAACGCTATAAAATAAAGACTCTTTTGTTTGAAAATAAAATTTGAGGGGTCAAAATGTTCCAAAAAATGAATAAGAACTAAAATGACTATTTAGTCCAACGTTAGTAGTCTTTTGCCCCAAAGCGAACACCTAGATCCAAAATGCTTAAAAAATAAATGTCAAAATAACTATTTAATTAAACGTTATCAATATTTTTCACATTTTTTTTATTAATTATGACTCTAATTTTAACTTGTAGTACCATCGAGATTTTTATTGTATTCTTTACTAACATCGGCAAGGAGAGCAACATATACAAAATCCATGAAGATCTAACGGCAAGCATTTGATTTTTTTATTAAGTTAAGATGATTATAAAGTAATATATGTTCTAAATATTCTCAACTATTTAACAATTGGTATGCGAACCCATGATTTTTAAGAACAATAACAATTCTTTTAACCATTGAGGTAAGTCGGTTCATGTCAAGTGTTTGACTTAAAATAAGATGGATTTGAGACATTTTATGATGAAAATCCCCGAAATAGAAATCAAGAGATCGAGACGATATTTTTGATAAAATTTAATGATTAATAACCGTCGCATGTGATAGTTAATACGGTGATCGACAATGATAATGCACGATGAGGAACGACAGAAAGACTGGTCGGTCAGGCATCTCTAGAGAGATATAAGATAAAATAAAGAAGAGAGACAGAGCAAAAATTAAATAAAGTAGAAAAAAAAAAAGAGTAAAAATATTTTTATACCCTTATTAAAACGGTGTCGTTTTGTTTCTCATTATGTTAACCCACGCCTGATTCCGACTGGAGCTTTTGACCAGCATGTTTTGTCTCTTGCGGGAAAAAGTTACATTTTTATTTCGCTAAATGTTAATTGTTAATTATTTTTATTCTTTTATTTATTATTTTCATTTTTATTTTCACTTACATATTTTTTTTTCTTTCTTTTGGCAGTGTCAGCTTCAAGGATTCATGTGTTTTTATCCATATTTTAATTTATTATTATTTTTTATTATCATATTGATATATATATATATATATATATATTCTTTTTTATGTTAAAAATATTCTTTTCTTTCCAGATAACATAATCCTCTGAAAGTGTTAATCTTCCTCGTGTAACAGATTCTCGAAAGCTCTTCAAGGACCCAACTCATTCAAACCACCCAAAGCGCCACGATATCCTCCATATTCGAATGGTGAGGAAGCCACCCTCGAGGAGGAAAGCAACATATCCGAAATCCATGAATATCCAAAAATGGATTTGGGCAGATCGGCGAAGAGAAGCTCGGGCATCTGGCTTTAAATCAGCAAATTCTGGACATTTTCTAATGAAATCATACTCGAAATTGAAATCAGGGGACGAGATAGTGTTTCTGGTAAAATTTGATGATTAACGACAGCTGTAGGTTGCGATCGGTACGATGGTCGGCGATGACGGTACAGAGCGAAGAAAGATGACAAGGCTGGCCGACCGATATCTCTGGCGAGATATGAGAGAAAATAAAGAAGAGAGGGAGAGAACAAAAATGAAAGAAAGTAGAAAATTAGAAGGAGAAAAGGAAAATATGGAATAACTTTTATACCCTCACCGAAATGATAAGGTTTTGGTGCCTGATCTAACCGAAAGCTTTTGACCCACGTGTTTTGTCTGTGGTGGGGGAAAATTACGTCTTCATCTACTTTTGTCTTCGTTTTAATTTAGTTATTTTCACAGTTTTTTATTTATTTTAACCCAATTAACTTCTATTTGTTGCATATTGATCTCTTAGCATGCTTGCATGTTTTACATATTTATTCCATTAATTTTTATTTGCATTTTTTATTATTATTATTATTATTATTATTATTTTCATTTACATATTTTTTGCAGCAGCTTTAAGGATTCATGTGTTTCTATCTCCATTTCATTTCATTATTATTTATTATTATTTATATTTTTAAAAATATTATTTTCTTTCGAGATAACATAATCCAAGGTATCAAGTTTGGGTATCGTGAGGGTGCACTAATATTTTCCATGTATAATTGATTCTCGAATCTGATTTTAATCTCATTTTAGACGCAAATCAACATTTATCGTATTTAATCATACCTAACCTAAAACGATCGATGGTGAGTCCAACCATGTGAAGAGTTCTTCAATAACTCAAACCATTCGAACCATCGAAAGATGAATTCTACAATTGTGATAATCATCAATTTATATTTGAATTCAATAGTTTTCTTACGTTAAACATTATTTATTGGAATTCTAAGAAAAAATGTATCTCAATCCACAACAAAAGTTGTATATAATGGCGGATCCATCCTTAGTCTAGAGTGAACATGTGTTTATTTTAAAATTTGAATTTTCTTTAATTAGTTATCTATTTTATTGATTGTGTCCACTTTAAAATTTTATTTGGGTTCACCTTATATAAAATTTTGTATTATTAATATATGTATACATGCTTTAAAAAATATTTATATATCTGTCACTCATTGTATGCGATAACTTTAACTGATGCTACGTTAGAATTACCATCGTTAAATTCTGTGTTAGATTATCTTGGAGTTGTCCTCAAAGAAGTTTCCAAGATTTGAGGTGACAACACAAGCACTGCTGTCGATTTGAGTATCCATGTCAAAACTAAACATGTAGAATTAGATCTTCACTTCGTTAGAGACAGTATTCGTCAACAATTACATGTTAATTTTAAGCCAGCTCAACTGGATGCACGCATTATCAGTCAACACCTTCTTTGGTTTTTTGTAAAAAGCTTATAGTTTGCTCAATAAAAAAGCTTTGATATACTTGAACAAAGGGTCAATAAGATGTGTTAATATTAGATAGATAAAATTACAGTTACAACTGTCTTCAAGAATAGATTGAAGGGCTGGCTGGAGCGATGGTTCCGTAAATATTTTATTTGTATTTTTTATTAGTGGATGATAACAATGTAATATATGTTCAAAAGGCTTTGAACCGATTGATAATGAATGTTCAAAAGGCTTTGAACCGATTGATAATGAACGTTCAAACGCCTTTGCAGACGTCGTGTTTGAATCCAAGACCTATAGGAATAACAACCATCCGTTTAACCATTAAGATCCCTTGATTTGTAAGATCAAAGATGATTGATTCCTCTTATATGATGGTTTATTTTCCTAGTCAAATTTATTATGAGGGTTGGTGAATGAGATGATGTTATGGATAGAAAAGAAAAAGTACGAGAACTTAGACTTGTGTAGTGCGTGCGTTTATGTTGTTTTTCAATGTAAAAATTAGAGGTGGCAGCGATGACGGATGCAAGTATGGTTTAGGGTTTGTATCGAAATTTAATTTTTTTCTTAATTATTCATTTTATTGTTGGTATTCCCTTAAAATTTTATACCTGTCTACCCATACGAAACATTTATGTGTTAATATATATGTGCCAAGCTTAAAATTTTTTTTATGGAATGAAGCGCATGCAGATCAGGATGTGGTCAAGGTGTTGGGTTTCGTCTTTAGTCAAATATAGCACTCCAACTTTTCTAATAACCAAGCACCTAACTTTATCTGAATGGAAAACAAAATTACTCATAACTAAATTACTTTGGAATTCCATGTAAAGTAATTCCTTTTAATACACGAGTAGACTAGGACAAGTAGGCATGTTCTAGTTTTGGACACCCAAGATCCGGGGATTGTTACTGTCTGAAAACATGAACAAGAATTATCGGTATGTTGTTGTGAGTGTTAGAACAAAGAGAATGAAATGAGGCGACAATTGAATTGGAAAACGTAAACAGTTTGAAGCATTTTTTGTAATCTTCCCTTGATCCATTTCCATTAGTTTTTCTTCTTTGACGACATCCATCGTGTTCCTACAATCTTTGCTTCACAGATCACTAAGCTGCTGCTGCTGCTGCTTCTTTATTAATCAATCCCCACAATAAAAATGTTCACTGTCCCCTCGTTACCGCAATAACTGCTTCTTACAAATCATCTTCTCTTTCAAATCCAACAATGTCTTGTCTATTCTTCGTCTTCTTGTTTACATACCTGGCCATGCATGCATGCAATGCAAGGCATCTTGGAGTAGTCATGGATGACCATACTGTTTCCGATAAGAAACATCTTTTTTCTAACAAGGTAAACCTTATTAATTTATTCTCTGAATATCCTTGTATGTTATTGATTTGGTATATGTCTATAGGTGGTGGAAAGTGTTGAACAGACGAACAAGGAGGAAAGCATGATTTTCATTGAGAGTGATGAGGTGAAGATGCCAAAAGGGTCGGGCAAACAAGAAGGAGAAATGTCGGGTGTTGTTCAGGTTTCAGTTTCAGTTTCAGTTTCGGACAAGGACTTGGATGTTCGAAGTGGATTTTTTTCTGATTATTCTACACCTAGAACACGTCCTCCTTCTCATAATTGACTAGTTCAGGTGTAATACTATTACTAGAG